TGAGGAATAGACACTTCACAATAAGGAAGCAATTAGTTCAAGGACATAGAGCTACCAAATAGCACACATTTAGTTTGTAGGTGTCTCTTATTATAGCCAGGCTTTAGAAAGCATTAAGTTGTTTTTGTGCTTGCAGTGCTGGGGATGGAACCCAGGGCCACCAGCACACTAGGTAAATGCTCTACCACTGAGCTACATCCCAGCACCAGAGTTGTTTGTTTTTAACATCACAGTTAAAGCTCAGAGGATGTGGGAGAACTCCTGAAGTCCCACTGCTTACTTTTCTTAATAAATTTTTTCCTCTTGGAGGATAAATATGTGGGAGCCATGAGTTCTTGTGCCAGGTCTTTTGGAACAATACTAAGAAGGCACGATCAGGTTCCAGGAACAGCCTGATTACACCAACTGGCAACTGATTTAGTCCATCCATTTCAGAACATGCTCAGCCAGGGGAGCAGATCCACTGGCCATCTGAGATAGGTCAGATGAGCCCTATCAAAAAATGTTTTTTAAAGGCAAAGGCAGACTCAGAATCCCTATGGAAAATGTTAAACACGCTCCATACTGGAAAACTCAAACACTCATACAGAGTAAATGACATATCTTCCAAGAAGCCAGGGGCTGTCTGAAGTCGTCACTTGCACTGGCCAGGTTCCCTACCTCTGCCAAGGGAAAGGCAACTTCCGGCCCACAAGGCATATTTCTAAACACAAATTTATACATGCATGCATATGTGAAAACAGTTTTGACAAAGGGCAAAAAGCCTGATTCAACTTTTCTAACATATGCCCACCCTTAGGCAAAAAAGGAGAAAAAGTTGTTTTTTGTTTTGTAGTAGCACAGAAAAGTCAACGAGGTCTATGGTAGTTCATCTGTCGTCATACACACTTTTACTTTCTTTCTCCCCTCATCCCTAACAAGACATGTGTCTTCCAGGACTTACAAAAAGCTATGAGACAGACCATCAGAGTCAACAGCGTTAGAATAAATTTCAACCATCATTACATAAGAAATTAACCTTTGCTTTAAAGTTGATTTATTTTTTAATCTTTGAAGAGGACACAGCTCTAAAGGGTGAGTTCACACAATACTTTCACTTCTGTTTTTGCTCTCCATGTGGAGAGGAAACTCTGATACTGCTATTTGTGTTATCGTGATGCCCAATTAAAAAGCTCTTATTGTACCTGAAATGTCTAAGGTAGGCAGGCTTGGGATTCTTTTCTCTCAAAAACTTACCCATCTTCCACCCACAAGAAACTGGCCCTCACTTGTAGAGAAATGACCCATACAACCTTTCCTAAAATAACTTTTAACATTTATTTTCATGAAATAAAGGGGGAAAGTCCCTTTAGCAATATGAAAAGTAATACTGTAAGTGAAGATTCGATCTGAGGTCCATTTTGGTCTGGAAACCTTTTACTCAGGGGACTCATGTAGAAATTTTAATCAGGCTAAGTAGACCCAGATGAGATCTAGCTTTGCTTTTTTTGTGTGTGTGTGTGGTGCTGGGGATTAAACCCAGGGCCTTGTGCATGTGAGGCAAGCACTCTACCAACTGAGCTACATCCCCAGCCCAAGTTCTGGGCTTTTAAAAATTGTCTTGAAATAATTTCTGTTCTTCACATTTTTCCTCACAAGAACATTGGGTTTTCCAAATGTTTTAATACTTAATAGGAGGTGAATCCTGTTAATGATTCAGCCACAATAGCAATAATAAACTTGTCTGTCCCACTCAGCCAGTGTGTTCCCAGTTGATCCTCACCCCTAGGCCATCCCAGCTTAATAGAACTGACGAGTGTACAAAACTTGGACTAAAGAAAAATACTAAAAATATAAAACTCTTAGGGAAGCAGAGAGGGGCAAAACTTCTAACATGTTCTTAAAAGCAGAGATGTTAACGTTCTCTTAGAGAAACTACAACTGCCAATAACCTAGTATGCCTAGATAATTGTAGAGAAACATTAAGAACACCTTGAACTAAAAGAAGTGCTTACCTTTGCTGAAATGAGAAGCAGTTCTGTCTCCACCTGCCTATTAAAATGCAGGTGCTAAGTCTGAATATCTTACAAGTATCCCTCCCAAGTTCCAGCTTTTATCTGGGATATTTGAGTTTTGCCAACCAAAATTGCAAACTAGAAGCCAATGCTGTTAGGGTAGCTGGCACAAATATCCAAGAGAGACACAGCTCTGAGTTCAAGCCAAGGTTTATTGACAGAGAGTATCTGCCAGGCTGCTCTATAAGGTGCAGCCAGCCGTCTAGGGACCTAACAAAAGTGGGTCCAACTTTTTAATATTTCCTTCATGATATAACAGTACAATAGTCAACTCAGAAAATACAAACTAACTGTTGGACATGCGTCATCACAAGGTTAGGTGGCTTAAAAGTTCCTTAAAAGTTCTGTTGTTCTGGTGGACAATGTGCTCACTGTTCAATACATAAAGGTTCTCCAGATCCCAGAAGTTTTCTACAACTGAATACACACTATCTCTACCAAAATTTTTGAAAATTTTCATAAGACCTTATTAAGGGTCCAACCTCACTGTAGCGAACATGCTCATTCAGCAAAGGGTATTCAGTTTCCTGCTCCTGGATGCATAACTAACTGCACTACCCCATTTCCTGGAAAATACAAACAGCATGAAGACAGGCCTGGTACACTGAACTTCTGCATACTTGATGACTATGTAAACTCTGGCCCATTGCAAAACCAGCTCTAAGCTTGAGGCTCAAACTCCTACATCTCCATCTAGCTCCCAAGGGCTGGACCTCACTGAAGTGGTTCTCAGCGGGGGGTCCCTGGACCACCAGCAGCAGCACCTGGGAAATCATTAGAAATGCACATTCTCAGGCCCCAGCACTTCTGGAGGTGAGGCCTGGCCCCCAGGTGGCTGATGCCTCCAAATTTGAGAACCACTGTGGCAAGTTGTAGCTATCAAACTGTTTGTACCCTCAGAGCCTGAAGGTGGCACTAAAGGCCAGCTGGAAGAAGGAAGGGAGGGAGCTCAAGTTTTAAGTGTTCCAGAAACCAGGCCTTCCTCTTCTCCTCCCACCTGACCACACAGCGCCATCAGTTCCCTAACAGTTGTTCAACTTCCCCAGTGCTTAAAAGGTGACAGTACATCTCATCTTTGAACAGGAACTGAGACAAAATTCTTCACCACCTCTCAGTAGATATTTTAAATCTTCAACCTTCAGGGATACGTTCAATATTTAATTATTGGGGGGGGGGGGGTGTTCAATATAATGAAGGCACAAATATACTTTAAGAATGAAAATGTCAATACTTAGTAAACAGACAACAAAATAAGAAACTCGAATTATTATCAGCAATTGCATTGTCATAATAATAACAATGCACTTGATTCTGAAAGATTAGAGTCCTTATCCTAAAAATTTAATTGTACTGATGTGACAAAAGTGAAATGAAAGTAGGATTTCTTTCTTTTTTTAAATGAAAAACATGTATATACATCTAACCCCTTGCTAGACTCAGTCAAAATCCTGAATTTTGCAGCAGTAACTTTGATGCTCTGCTGGTGGGAGTGCAGATCGGTACAACCACTTTGGAAAACCATTTGGCAGTGACTACTAAAGCCAAATAAATATGCAAGTACCTAGATCCAGCCATTCCACTCCAAAGTATATACCCTAGAGAAATGAGTCTTCATGTCCACCAAGGGCCTCACAAGTATAGTCTTAGAAGTACAACTTATACAAGTTACAAACTGAAAACAATCCAAATGTTATCCTCAGTAAAGGAGACAAATAGCATGGGTATTCATATCATGAACCAGAAGCAGCAATGAAAAAAACCAACCAACCAACCAAAAAACTAATGCACTGGTACCCACAACACAGGCACATCTGATAGATACAATGGTGAGTGAAAGAAGCCAAAAATCGGAAGGGTACGCTAGTATCCAAATAGGCAAAACTAATCTCTGGTGAGCGAGGTCAGCACAGAGACAACTGTGGATATCTAGAGGAGGCACCTAGAGAAGTTCTACTTCTTGACTTGGGGCACAACAGATGAAAGGTTGGGTGAATTACACACTTAAAATCCCTATATTTTACTGCATGTACATTATAACTATTTACAAAGGGGTGGGAGAATTAAGCATATATGCAAAATATATTGACACACTGCCATGTAATTTTAGAAAAAATCTAGATTAGTGGGTAACTGTGTCATATCAGTGTATATTTACTGCAAAAATACAATGCATTTGCTAGTCTAAATCTCGACATTAAATATAATGAACAGGGGACTTTCCTTCTTTCCAAAGTTATACTATCATATGTATGTGGCATTTGTATGAGGAATTTACTCTGCGCTTAAAGGGTCCCTCTTCCTGTGGCACCGACTATCCACCCTTCCATTCCTCCTCCACCCACTTCCCTGCATACTCTGGAGGTCTGGTCATCCGTGCACAGAGAGGACGAAGGGCCTGGCTCTAGGGCTACTGTGGTCATTATCCTGCAGAGCTATGACCATCCTTGGCCTAACCATCACCCCCAACCAGCTTCCCTCTTGCTAGGCCATGCCAGGCCAGTTCGAGGTAAGAGGCCCAGTAAAAACAGCTGTATCTGAGGCCACTCCGGGCGTACTGGATCCCTGTCTCCGATGCACTAGGATGGAAGATGCTATTCCAGCTGCTCAACTGGGGACACGTGCAGGAACCTCCAGGGTACCACAGGCACGGGAGACTTGGAACCCACTGGCCCTCTGCAGGCGGGGTCGGCTCCCGCCCGCTCACTCGATCCAGGAGGATCAGAGCGGCTCCCTGGAGCGCTCCCGCGATTGAAAACCGCGGCTGGCTATAACACGTGACCAAGACGCGGTGCGGGTGTCTGGGAGAAGTCCTTCCGGCTCCCTGGGCAGGGTTGGGAGCCGCGGGAGTTGGCGCGCGGAGTTTGCGCACAGCGGGCCGTCGTTCCGCAGTAGGAGCGCGTCCCCGCGCCCTTCCCGCCCGCCGCCGCGCGGGGCGGCCGTATTTACCTGGAACCAGGAATACGTGCTGCCGGGCGCGAGCCCCGTCCCCGCAGTCCACGCGCGTGGCCATAGCGCCCGCCTCCTCCGGGACGCGCGCGCGGCCACAAACCCGTAGCCACAGGCCCCCGTCCCCGCGCCCCGCCGGAAATGGCGGGAGGAGGGTCTACTCCGGGTGGCGCGGCGCGCTAAGGGACTGGCCGAGCCCAGGAGACGACCCACTGGTTGAATTCGGTTTCGTTTCCGGGACCAAACTGCGCTCGCTCGCGCTACGTTTTTAAATTTAGCGCCAGGCCGAGGCGCCCGGATCAGCGGCGCGAGGCCGGGGAAGAGACGCTCGCCTCTCCCCTGCGCTTCTCCACCAGTGGTAGGTGCTCGCCGCGCCCCCCAGGGACAAGTGACGCGGCGGAGAGGGCGGCGACCCGGGGACGCTGAGGCGGCGGGCGGAGTCGCACAGCCCGACTGTCAGGGCGCTCTTGCGAGGTGGTGCAGCTGCCAGGGTCCCTGCAATGTTGGGCCTGGAGGACAAATGACGCCCCCCGCACTCTAAGGATCAGGAGACTCCTAGAGCAACAGCTCTCTAAGGACAACAGTTGACACATCCGAATCTTACTGTAACCCAGGGACTTGGCCTCTAAGTCTTGGTTGAACGTGTCTTGACATCAGTTAGGTCTGCTTTGGAATTAAAGTCAGAATGTTGTGTGCGTGGTGGTTTATAATGCACCCCACAGCCCTCAAATTGGGCTTGCACCTCATCACTTTAAAAAAAAAAAGGTGCTATGCACAAGGCCCTGGGTTCAATCCCCAGCACCACAAAAAACAAACAACAACAACAAAAAAAGTGCACAGTTTGGGGCTCAAAATATGATTTTTTTTTTAATTTTAGAGAACACTTTGTAATGAGGTAAAAATGACTTTTATGAAAAAATTATGTTTAAAGAAGTCGTGATCATGAAATGGGGGTTAAACTTTTAATTGAAAAATTAGTACCCGGCACAGGGTTTTTAGAAAGCAGTAAATGTTTGTGTGCCCCACTTGCAGATCCCCAACATTTCCTTGTTTTTCCAGAATTTTCTCTTGCCAATACAAGTTCACGTTTATTTTTTGCACAAATGGGAGAATAATATGCATAACTCTTATGTATTTTGCTTTTCTTGTTTAATCCTGAAGATACTTGGATTCTGTACCACTTAGATCTAACTGAGTCATTTGAAAATATTTTTAACTTTAAGCTTGTTTCTCACAGGCTTACAAACACAGCTCAAATGGACTTGCAGGACACCAGTGGAAAGGAACAGCATCCTAATGCAGATTCTGGAACAGATAGCAGATTAGTACTGCTGTGACCTTCCCTGACACTGTAGTATAAACCCAAATCCCCATGGTGATTACTAAAACAGCTAAGGGAGAAATGCTACCCATGGTTCCCTTGCTCCACCATGTGTAGCTGGTTTCATTTTTCTCTCATCCTTTCCAGCCGTTGGCTGTTTGAGTATGTATCTTTATGTGGTTGTTTTCACAGTGTAAAGACAATTTCGTCTGCTTTTCTCACTTAACATTGTCATAAAAATGTTTTGCATTGTATCCAGCACTGTCATTATTAATGGAGGCATGTGATCTCACATTACTAATCTAAAGTTAGCCATTCTCTAGTGTACAATATTAATATTATCTCAAACTTACTATGAATAATGTTTCAATATGGACTATGCAGTAGTTTGAAAAAATTATGTTTAAGAAGTCGTGATCATGAAATGGGGGTTAAACTTTTAATTGAAAAATTAGTACCCGGCACAAACTAGATGCACCTATACAATATGAATGCTTTATAGCAAAGGGGAAAAAATAGATGCAGGAAATTATTTATAGCAAAGTACTATGTAGGTAAATTTAAAACATACATAAAACCAGTCCTATATGTTTTACAAGGATACATGCATATTTAAGGCCATGTGTAAAACATAAAAAATGGGTGTCTTTAAAGTGGAGGTGAATGAGACAGGAAAAGAAGGGCAGAAGAAATCAAATAAGAGGCCCAGGCTCACATGGGCCACATTCATGTGGTATAAGAGTACAGTGAACTCTCTGCACCTTCTCTAAACAATTTCCTTTGTCTCTTCTTATGATTTGAATACACACACACCCCGCCCCAAAAAATGTGTTGGAAACTTACTTCTCAATGTTAAAATGTTGGGAGGTGGGACTGATGGGAGGTGTTTAGATCATGAGGGCTTAAAGGCCCTCACCAGATGCTGACCCCCTATCATGTACTTCGAGCTTCCTGAATCCAGAGCCAAATAAGTTTTTGTTCATTATGAATTACTCAGTCTTGGGTATTCTTTATAGCAGCACAAAACAATAAGAAAGTGCCCCCCTCACTTAATACATATCAAATACCTTCTTGAAAGGGAGACCAGTAGTAGTGTGTGTACTGATTCTAGGTCCCCTCAAGGTAAAGTTCAAGGTACTAAGCTTTAAACACAACCCTTAAGATCTGGTCCTTGCTGGACTCTGCAGCCACAATTTCAGATATCTCAGTCCTCTTCTATCCACATTCTGCCACAAAGAACTGCCTGTGTTTCTGCCCACCCAGCACTTGACATTGTGTTCCCAATGCTGAGGGCCCCAGCTCTCCACTTTGCTAGTTCTCCCTTACCATGCATCACCACTGGGGTGGCTTTAACTCATCCATCAAGTGTCACTTAGATAATGCCTTTTCCATATCCCCTCTCCCCTCCTGCTAACAATGACCCCAAGAATAAGTGAGAAGTCTTGGTCTTCCTGTTGATCTCATGAGGTAGTAAGAGCCCCTTACTTCATTGAAGGAAAGAGAGCATCTAGTAGCTCACCACTTTATCTTCCAAAAATTTACAGTGGTTCTCTTTGAATACTCACTGCCAAGCCCTGCACTAATCTCTGACTGTTTCAACTCTTGAAACAGCCCTAAGGTCAAGTATTACTGTGGTCACCCACATTGTACAAAGGACACAGTTCAGAGAAATGGATAATTATGACAGGACACCTAAAAAGTACCTGAGCTGGGATGGGGATGTGGCTCAAGCAGTAATGTGCTTGCCTGGCATGTGCAGGGCACTGGGTTCGATCCTCAGCACTACATAAAAATAAAATAAAGATGTTGTGTCCACCAAAAACTAAAAAATAAATATTAAAAAATTTTCTCCCTTTCTCTCTCTCTCTCTCTCAAAAGAAAAAAAAAAAGTACCTGAGCTAAGACTGGACCCTTAGCCTTCCTTCCTCCCTCTCTGTTGTCCCAATGTCTATGGGCATATATGTGGTGGGCAAATATTATTTTAATAAATATCTATGCCAACAGACTGCAGATAAGTAGTCATGACAATGGTCAATAACTTGTGGTATTCCCAGATTTTATAAATAAGAACAAGTTGATTATATCCAGTATGTGATAAAATACTCCATAAATGAATTTTTATACTAGTCTGTACTAGTCACACTAACATACAAAGAGACAAGTAAGTCACTCTTCAGAGAATAAGAGGGAGCAGCAACCTTAACATCTCTGAGTAGAACCACAAGTGTCTGAATGCTGGGATTAATAACCAGAATATAGGAAAAAAATAAAAAACTTAACACCAAAAAACCCAATACACAGTCAGTAATTGGGCAAATATCTTGAGAAACTAGCCAAAAGAAGAAATACAAATGGCCAACAAACACATCTTCCTTAGCAATCAGGAAGATGAAAATCACCTCAGGCAGAATGACAATCATCAAGAATACAAATAATGATAAATTACAGGGAAAACAAACATTTATACATTGTTGGTAGGACCCCAAATGACCACTTTGGAAAGCAGTATGGAGATTCCTCAAAAGACTAGGAATGGGCCCATATGACCCAGCTATCCTACCCCTTGATATGTATTGGAAAAAAAAATCAGCATATTATAGAAATACATGCATACCGAGGTTGATGGCACCACAATCCACAATAGTCAAGTTATAGAACCAGCCTAGATGCTCATCAATAGACTAGTGGATTAAGAGAATGTGGTGTATGTACGTACACCATGGAATTCTACTCAGCCATAAAGAAGAATGAAATTATGTCATTGGCAAGTAAATGGATGAAACCGGAGAATAACATGCTTAGTGAAATAAGCAAGATTTAGGAAATCAAGGGTAGAATGTTTTCTCTCATGTGGAAGTTGGAATAAAAGGAACTTAAAAAGGGGGATTTCACAAAAATAGATGACCTTAGATCTTCCTTACATCAGTAAAGTAGAAGCACAGGGGATGGGGGACCAAAGGAAAGGACGGGGGGAGGGAAAGGGGAAGAACTGGTGAATGAAGTTGACCTAAATTATAATTTGTGCATATATGAATATATCACAATGCATTCTAATTTTATATGTAACTATAATGAACAAATTTAAAAAATAGAAGACCAATAGAATAGAGGGAGGGGTTGGGGGAGAGGGGAATGGAGGAAAAGAGGAAGTACTGGGGATTGAATTGGAGCAAATTATGTTTTATGCATTTATGAGTATGTCAAAACGAATCCCACTGTTACATATAAATACAATGCACTAATTTTAAAAAAGGGAACAATAGATTAATTTTTTAGTGGGGAAGGAACTGTGGGCAGGGGAATAGTTAAGTGTCAGATGACCTTTAGCAATGCTTACTGGTGATCAGAGAGAAATAGAACTAAAGGTAGTGGAAGAATTTTTTTTTCTTCTACATATTATTGAAAAGTTAATACTTCTTTCAAAATAAGATAAAAAAATACAATTTATTGGGGAAAAAGTTGCTATCTTGTTTTTGTCCTGTTACTAAATGCTCCTCTAATGACAATGGAGAAAACAAACATGATCCTAAAGCGTGAGATGGAAAGCAGATCAGCCCTCCAAAAGGCAACTCTTTAGCCAGGGGACCAATAAGTAATAATTGTTTTTCTGGGGAGAATATCATCTTCATGTTCTTTCTTTTCTAATTCAACCGCTGTGGTTTGGATCTTAAATGTCCACCAAAGGCTCATGCATTCAAAGCTTGGTCCCAAAGCTGATGGCACTATTGGAAGATGGAGGAACTTTTAGAAGGTAGGGCCTAATGAAAGGAAGTAAGTCACCAGAAATGAGCCCTTCAAGGAAATATTGGGACCTCTTCTTGCTCTTTTCTTCCCAGCTTCCATGAAGTAAGCAACTTTCCTCTGTTAACTATTTCCTGCCATGATGTTCTGCTTCACCACAGACCCAAAGGCAATGGGGCCAAACAACTATGGACCGAAACCTCTAAAACTGTGAGCCAAAATAAATATTTTTTCTTTTTAAAGTCATTATCTCAGGTATTTTGTCATAGCAATGGAGAGCTAACACACCTACTTGAAGCTG